GCAGACGTTAAACTAATTCCCTTTTTTTCTAGCAAAATATAGAGGAATGAGTGATGGCTCTAGACTGCACTGGACTGTACTTTGTTAAAAGACTAACGCTACATAGATTCATTTCACAAACATACTACTAAAACAATCAGGACAGCTAAAAACACAAATTCAACTGAATTTATCTGTAAAATGTCCATCACAGCTGTTATGGTGCAAAAAGCAGAGTGCACTGTGGACAGGTTCCCTATGTCTCACATAAACGCATAAACCAAAAACATAACATTATCGCTGAGTGGGCACTAAGCAACATTTTACAACTGCTTTAACAAGTGTGTAGCAGCTGCCGCTGCTTGATGAATGCATTGTCTGGGCATGGCTCCACAGCAGTCATGACCCAAAGTTGTTTGTGGTGTCAGAAGTTAAGTCAATATCAAAATGCAAAATAAAAAAGAAGTTTTAATGAATTAGAGGTGGTCCACTTCTCCTCGACACCAGCCAAGTGTTTAATGAACGTCAGATCAAATAGCATTGACCCGTTCAGTTGAGACCGCCGGCGTGGGTTAATACTTTATTGATTTCAATCAGAGCCTGCAGTGTTAGATTGCTTTGAATAAATGCCAAATGAAGTTGTTTTTTATTTTCTCTCTTTCTTTGTCTTTAGTTTAAATATGTTTAAATACCATATCTACCTCCATTATCAAACCTACTTGCCAGAGTTTAGTGATCATAACCAATCATGCTTCTTGGTGTACCTGCTTGATTGCCGTTTTCTCAATTTCCTGAGTAGCCACCTCAATCCAACAGACAGCTCTCAATCAATCAACGGGAGCTCTTTTCATCATGGGCTAATGTCAAAATGTCAAAGGGCTAGATGAGGAATATTAAGTAGGCACTTGTCTGATTACTTTTGAACCCATTCATTTTGGGAACACTGATGCAGACCTACTTAAATGTGCTGCACACATACATGAAGGAGGGACAGACTAAGCCTGAATGTAAGTCACATGTAACATCTCTCCTTGGTTCGATTCACTGGTTTTGATCACTCCCCCATGATGAAATTAGCAGGGAAGATATTCTCCCTGCTGACCAAAGCCCGACACTTGAAGCTAGATAAAGCTCATTAGTGCAGCTCATTTGTCATATTGATTGATCTGACTGGACTCCAATCCGGATCTTTAATCTATCCCAGGGAGCTTCCGGCAGAGTGGGAGAGCAGGGCAGAAGAGGAGGAGCTGGAGATTAGCGTGGAAGATCTGACAGAGGAAAATTACGTTCCCAAGAAGAAGGCTTTTCATCCCTTCAGCGGTCGAGGATATAGACTTGGCAGGTGAGAGATTGTTGCTGTGAACGTCCTATTGTTTTTGTGTTTTGTGCAGTGTGAGCTCAAGATTTAAAGACCACCGTGCACCACTAGGTGTCCCTCTAAATCCAAATATCAAAAACCCCACAACCAAATCTGGCCCAGCAGACGAGTCTGCTTGTCAAGCTGAGCACCAAAACATTTTTGCACCATCACTGACACAAAGAGTCTGCAAACATTTTGCATAATTTTTTTTTCCTGGCGTCGGTGTGCATGGTGAACCCGGCGTGTGCACTTCTAAACTGGTGGTTAATCTGCTATTTATCTTCTGTCCATTCCCAGTGTGGCACCCAGAGTAGTAGCCAGGTCACCATCTGTGCACGAGGACGGAGAATCTCCTCCTATTCCCATGGTAACACTAGACCACGCCCTTCCCGTCACCTCCCTGCAGATCTGGTTGGCCGACGGCAGGAGACTGGTGCAGAGGTTTAACCTATCGCATCGGTACGTATCGCCAATACGCCACATCTCGATCTTCGGTTTGATCAAAGGACAAAAATAAGAGACAGAATCAGCAAATTAAAAAAGAGGAATCTTGACACTTTTCTGCTCCTGCTGCGCTGCGTGTAAATCCCATAATCTCAAGCAGGAAAAAGAAGTGGTTGAAGGGATGAAAGAAAGATTTTTGTTTGCTCTAGCTTGGGAGGTGGGGGTTAGGATTACGTAATGCTCTGTTCTAGGCTGCTGGAGTTAAAGGCTGGAGGCATGCTGCATGTTACGTCCCCCTGCCCCACAGTGCATGGGGCAGCAGAAAACATAATCTGAGATGTAGCAACAGCGTGGATCTATAAAATCCCCTGAGAGGGATTGCGTAAGTCTGGTGCAGCTTTTATATAACAGGGTTAGTAAGCAAAGGATGGATGGAGAGGACTGAACCCTTCCAGCCTGCAGCGTGAGGACCAGGCCTTACATAGGATGGCTTCGTATACACTGGGGCCTCATTATTAATAATATATGATGGCACTAGTATAGTGCTTCATAGAGAAGTCACGTGTCACAGTAGGGACTGGAGTCCTTGGCTGGGAAAGTTTTAATAGGAGCAGACATGTTCATTTCTGTATTTACGATGGCAGTTTGTTTGTTT